CATTCAGCAATCGTCAAGTTCATGCAACAGCCTCCAGATCTCTCCACCATCTGGCCCAGGACAACTTCCAGGATCGCACTCCCCCCTTTCCCATCCGTCACTGTCCTGCCGTCACCTGGCATTTCCCATGCCCATCACCTGTGCTCCCTTGGGGTTCTAGAGGTGCCCTTTCCCTTGGAATGGACCACTTTGCCTAGACACTGAACTCACTGCCTTGCGCCCCTCCTGTCTTGACAGAGGGCATCTCCGGCATGTGGCCTTCCCTGGCCATGTTACCAAACACAGCAGATCTCAACAAATCCTCTTCGGCACTCCTGATTTCATATTTTTCCTAGAACAAATCATTCCCTGGGAGACTATGTCTCCCCACTGGAATTTCGGACTCACCTCCCATCCTGAACTTATCCTCTGTGGTATCTTCTGGTGCCCTGTGGGTGCCATGAGGAATGAAGGAATAAAGCTCAGTGCCAGGCATCTCCTAGGCACACTACACACATGAATCATGGGACCCTCATCCAGCATTTCAATAACTGACTCTATTTTCCAGATGAGCAAATTTAGACACAGAGAGTGCAGGTGACTTTCATAAGGTTGAACAGCTATAGGCCAAGTCTGGGTTCCTCCTCGGGCACTTCGTGTCCTCCAAACCCCTACTCTAAGGCCTGATCTGGACATCGTCACCAGGCGTGAGGACAATCACAGGGTCAGTGACCCAAATCCCAGGGACCAGGAGACGCCATGGTAACTGATCAGAGGGTCCACATCTTCCCTGTTATGGGCCAGTTCACATCCACGTGGTGTATGTGTGGCTAAGAACTGGCCACCCTTCCTGAGGGGGGATACCCACCACCTGGACACAGCCCAGCCTCCCCTCGTCACAGCTCCTGACAGTGAATTTGCTCTTTGTTCCCCCGAGGAGACTCAATGAGCCTCAGGAAAGGGGGTCCCCACTCAGGGTTCTGGATCTTGAGTCTGGGCGCATCCTCCACTCCCAGCTGTCCTTCCTCCTTCCCGTCTGCATCCACCCCTTGATGATCCACTGCTGACTTACACCATTTTATAGGAGAAGCACTTCCAGCCTCCTGTCTGGACAAGACTCCACCCTCTGGGGACCTCAGCTCATCCCTGAGGCAACTGTAGGCTTGGGGAGGCAGCTGGTCCCCAGCCCCACCTCAGCACCAGCAGCACAAGGCACCAGTTCCCCTTTGGAGGGTGACCACAGCTGTCACTCACCACTGGCTTCCTGCCAGGGCTTCCTCTGTCCTGCCCCACCCCAGCTTCAGAGGACCCTGGACTGGCTCCGGCCCTGGCACATGCAGGATGCTGCCCCTGCTGCTGCTGCCCCTGCTCTGGGCAGGTGAGTGGGCTGAGGGAGGGGCGGCCAGGACGGGGGCAGGGCTGAGCTGAGCCTCTGTGTCCCCCCAGGGTCCCTGCAGGAAGACGCACAGTACAAGCTCCAGCTGCAGGAGTCGGTGACAGTGCAGGCTGGCCTGTGTGCCCTGGTGCCCTGCTCCTTCTCCTACCCCTGGAGAAGGAAGGATCCCCCCAGCAAGCTCTACATCTCCTGGTTCCGGGAAGGGGACTGGACATACTATTATGGACCTGTGGCCACAAACAACCCATACATGGACGTCAGAACAGAATACAGGAATCGATTCCATCTCCCTGGGGACGTCAGGGACAACAACTGCTCTCTGCTCATCAGAGACGCCAAGAAGGAGGACACAGGAAGCTAC